GAGCACGAGGGGAGCCTGGGAAAACGGGAGGGGGAGAGCCGGAGAAGACGCAGGAGTGAGGGTGGGGGGCGGCGGGGGGGGCGCTGCGGCTGCCGAGCCCCGAGTGGGGGGCCCGGGGAGGAGGGGGCGCGGGAGCTGGGCTGCCTCCGAGCGCGCAGGTGAGACCGGCCCCTCGGGAGGGGGATTTCGAGTCAAGGATTTTCCTGCCTCGAAACCCAAAAGCTGGATTTCGGCTTCAGGGTGATAGGCCGTGGTGAGAAGGGGGACCCTGGGCCAGCCTTCCACCCTGGAATCCCCAGATTTGCTGCCGTGAGGCACCTCGAAGGAACAGAAGGACGCCCAAGGACAGTGACTGGGGGGTTATGGTCACTCCAGAAGGAAAGCGGGGATCCCCGGGAAACGTCTCACGCCCGACGCTGTGGGATTAGCGGCTGATCAGTTGGGGAGAGAATGTAACTATCACAGTTCCTCCTTCCCCCGCCCACCCGAGAGGGGATTCACACCCAGTGACGGGAAAAGATGTTCCGAAGTCTACGTGTGATTTTAAAGGACGTTAGGCACCTACAGAGGGTTCGCAAGGCCAAACCCCAAGTGTGTAAATATTGGCAGAAATGTTCGTTTCACACACAGCTTCCACGCCCGTGGAACCACCCCATAAAATCTTAACCTTGACCACAAGGATAATCGGGAGAAAACCAGGATGGTGGCAGCTCAGCTGTACAGGACAATGGGCACTGCATGGTAGAACAGGTCAGCAGCCCGGGTTAAGCTGGAGAGCCTCGCGCAGTTCTCCTGCGGTATCAGTGTCACCACAGCAAACGCCCCCCAAAGTTTTTTTTTTTTTTTCTTTTTTAAGCTGACCTGTCAACAAGCAGTTGTCCCTGCTTGCCCACCTGGCATTAAGGACCTACAAAGATGACGTTTGCCACTCTACTTAATGCTATCATATCTTTCCTCTCCGTTCCTGGCCCGTTTGGGGTTTCCGCCCGCTTTCTACGCCCGGGACCCTCCTCTGCCTGCAGCTCCCGGGCACTGCAGGATGCTGGGGGGACACGCAGCAGTGGAGGCGCTGGGGGCCGCCCGGGAGCGCGCCTCGGCCTAATGCGGGGTGAGGGGCGGGGCGAGCTTCCCGGAGGAGTTTGCTGATTGGCGGGGCTGCCTGTCTTTCAAGACTTGCACTGCAGGAGGGAATGGGGGGAGAGAGGGTGAGGGGACCAAGGTAGGTTGCAAAGCGTAGTTTTAAAAAGAGAGAGAGAGAGAGAGAGAAGAAGAAAAAGAACCGTAGGCGCCATTCAGCTGTGTACGATACGGGAATGAGGGGATCGGGCATCTGCAGAGGGGCTGCTCCCCACCGAAGCCCGAGAGCCTGTCATCTCTCCTGTCACCTGCTTGTTCCCTGCCATGATGCAGCCTCATCCAAACCCGGTTAATCTATAATTTGAGTACACATGGTGAGAGCCCTCCCTCCTTTTCCTCTGACAGCCTGGTGATGTGGGCACACGTGCCCACTACAGCAAGGCTATAAATAGCAGATATGTGGAAATGGTAACGAAGCGGCAATAACAGTGACCGAAATATTCTGGGGCATAGGGTGCTTTATGGGGGACAGGGCAGGGGGATGCGGAATAGAGAAGCCTGAAGTTAGTGGGAAAGTGGAACTGTTGGGGGAGACGGGCGAAGGGAACCCTGGGCAAGAAAAAAGAAAGATAATAAAAGGATTGTTTCCTAGTAACAGTGTGATCTAGATAAGGCCATAGGGCTTTTTACAGGTTTGATGTTGATCGTGGGGGTGGGGTTGGGGGAGTATTTCACGTTTTGTAGGAAAACAACTCAAATCCAGACTTTCACTTTTCAAATGATCCCTTCCTTTTCTAATCCCTGTCCCCCCCCAAAAAGCTAAATAAAGGGGATGTAACCCCTCTGGGAAACAAAATACTTTTTTCTGGAAGGAGGGGAGGGCTGGAAGATCAATTTGGTTTGCAAATATTTTACAATAATTTTCACAAAAAGAATTTTGATCATATAAAACTGATTATTATTAAAGAGCTTTTTCAAAAATACATCTTCGTTGGTTAAGTATTTCTACATTAAAAACAGAACTTCAGTGGCTAAAACATTCGATAGAAGTCATGAAATAGGCCAGATTGCTGTGACAAATTCTTTTCAGACCAGTGGGTTTCATGTGGAAGATAACCACTGATCATAAGATGTTATCGCCATTTTTTCCTGCTTGCTGATGTTTTACTATCAGTATTAAAGGTGGTTAATATTTATTGCAATTATTACTATAGTAAATTCAATTATTCTCTACATTTTTTTTAATGGGTCGAGATAACTCTGGAAATGCAAATTCACGTTTGGTTCATATAATATACAGAATAGAAAGAGATGCTTTTGTGGAATCTAACTGAAGTAATGTTAAGCAGGCACGAGAATTATCCTGTCACCTTACGCTAAATTAGTCTTGTGTTGTATTGTAATGAAATACAGTGTATGAGAAATTCACCCCTAACTGAAAATTCACGGGAACGAAAAACAACCCATTACCAAAATATGTTGCTCAAGGCTGCCATCTATAGGACAGCTAAAGACAATTTGTGTAATATGCTCAAGTGCATTTTAAAAGAAGGCTGAAATAATGATTCATTTAAAAACACTGTGACAGCTATGTTGATACTATGAATACAGTTATGATTCAAGGATTTAAACTTTCCATGCTATGGGTGCATTTTTGAGTAATATGTCTACAATTAGCTTTAAAATGGAAATATTGGCCTATGCATGAGTCTCTCAGAAAAATACAGTGTTTATAAATTATTACATAAATTCTTAAAATGCTTGAGTTGAGTGAAGGTACAACTAATCATTTGAAAACTATAAGGCATTTTTTACATCAAAACAAATGTTTTCCTTAAGATGAATGGGTCACAACTGGAGGAACTGTTTAGATACTGGCATCTCCGAATTAATTTGGACAATTTAGAATAATGCTTGAAGGAAAATCGAAACATGAGAATTTTCTCGTTTTAAAGTCCATTTTTATTTTAAGATAGCTCAATAGTAACAAATATTTGAATTCTCCTCTGAAAGGCAATATGAAATATATAAAAAGACAGTTTCTTACAGCTTTATGGGGTAATATGAGAGATACGAAATAAAGATAATTGATGACTAAAGTCCTGTGTGCGTGTGTGTGTTAAATGTCAAATAAGTGGTATTAGAGCAGATGGAGATCATGGTGGATGAAATAACTAAAGAAATCTTTATAGAGAAGAACCTTAAGCTTGAACTTGAACGGTGGCTATAACCCATATAAGTGATTGGCAGATTTTTTCCCATTCACTTTTTTTGGAATACCTACCTGTGTGTCAGGCACTAGGCTAGGCACTAAGGATTTAGGTATCTAAGACATGATCCTGCCCCAGGAAGCTTATGGTACAAATGGGGGACAAGTGAACATAACTACAGACCACTATGATCTCTTTTGTAAAAAAGTAGACAGGGCAAATGAGATCACAACAACCAATGGCCTTCTGAGTTAAAAGTCATTAGTCACAGACAGCATACTTTAGGAGTCTGGAAGGTGACTCTCCCCGTAATAACTTTGTTTTCTCTGTAATTAAAATCTTTCATCCTTTTGGATTAAAAAAATATGAAATAGTAGAATTAGAAGTGAGCTGGAAAGTCACACTTGTCTTGAGAATCTGCTAGATCAGGGCTCTCTAACCTAAGGATCTTCTTAAAATGCAGGTTCTGACTCAGAAGGTCTAGGGCAGGCTAAGGTGCAGCATTTTTAACACACTGTAGGGGATGTTGACTCTGCTGGGTGGGTACACCCTTTCAGTAGCACAGTTCGATAACTGAAGATTAATTAAAAGGCGTA